TTTTTAGTCTTTTTTTTTTTTTTTTTTTTTTACTTTATCCAAATTTGTGCTAAATCATAGTTAATGCAGCTTTAACCTGTGTTTGGAAACTATTACTCTGCATCACTTTATGCAGATTGGTGTTAATAAAACTTATTGAACTTCTTGACCTTTGAGTGAGTTCGTGAACTTGAACTCCTTTTTACAGGCATACTCCAACCTCCTCAGAGCTCACATGGATGGACTGAAGAAGAAAGATAAGAAAAGCAAAAGCAAGAAAACTAAAGCCACCCAATGAGCAACAGACTTTGACACAACCTTGAGTGGCTAAACCAATCTGTACGATCACTAGGGGAATGGGAACGATCTCCATTTGGTCGTTTGCACATACTCGGATTTCTGCTCATTCCTCAAGGCCTCAGATTGATGGTTAATCCGCTCAGTGGCTGCTTTGACATTATGCCATTCTTTGCATGGTACTGTCTTTTCCCTGGCTGTTTAGTGCCATCAGTGATCTGGAGCAGAAAGTCCAACTCTTACAGGTCAACTTTACAGAATCTCTGCCAATCCTGCTTTGGAAACCAGGTCATCCACAGCTGTGTTTCCACTGGAGCCAAATCCATGGAGTCCAGTGAATTGCTAGGCATCCTTAATTATATTAATGGCTCACCCGTTTTGGTTTGTTTCAGTTCAGCTATCTTTAGGAGGTTTAATTTTCCATGTATAATTATTTTCCTAAAGAGGCTTTTCAGCATGACTGCTCAGAAATGCAGAACTGACCGTGACCAAGGTATTTTGAATATTGGTCAAAAGTCTCGACTTGATATTGGAGATGAAATTGTATTTTTTATTTTACTTTTTGGAGTAGAATGCTGCTGTGTTCTGTTGTTTTTGAAACGCATTCATGCCAAAACTGAAGCCTTAAATTCTTACACACCAATAAAATGTGCAGCTAGTTTCTGTTAATGTGATTAATTTAAAGATGCTGTTTCAGAGCTATGTCTTGAATGAGTTACATAGCACAAGCATTCAAAGGTGTATTTTGACTTGCGTATACAGAGACAAAGTATCAGCTGTAATACTTAAAATTTCATTTATTAAACACAACTATAAGCCAACGGTTTGCAATGTCTCATCTCCTGGGTCCTGGACTTGTGGAAGAGGGTTCTAGCAGAAAATAAGTTCAGAAATAAAGTCCTTTGTTAAAAGTCACTGCGTAGTTGTCCATTTCTGATTAAAGCAAAAAGCACAGAGTGTTAAAATACAAAGTGAGACAGTAAATACACTATATACATAAATACACTTCTGTGTTGTAGTGGTAAAAACAGTCTGCGGTGTGGTGAAGAGAAGAGGCATTTCACAGCGCTGTGTTGTTCTTCTCAGGTCTGTCCTTTGGGGAGAGGGCTAGGTGGTGCTGCCGGGCGCTCTCCTCCTGGTACCCCTGGTTCATGAGGCTGGTCACATACTGGAACATAGTCTGGATTACAGACAGTACACACTGAACTGGGTCAGTGCTCCCATCCTTTCAACTGAGCATTTAAGTATTGTTTTGAATGCAGACAACACAGTTTTACTGTCTCCATCTTGGGAAATAATGCATTATTATTTTTGAGTTATAGCATTAAAGTAGTAGTGTAAAGAAATACTGAACAAAGTTTGGCCTTGTATCAGGTTTTTTTAATGTAACTATTATTTTTGTCATGCCAAACATTAGGCATGATACAGAAATAAAATTAACTTCAACCCCTAGAGAGCATCAGAGGCCATTAACTGAAACATGTTTTAAAAAAAAAAAAAAAAAGTGATTA